TTCTCCACGACATATCAGCTAAAGTCAACTTGAATGTATGGCACGCCAAAATCTCGAGTAACTGCGTCAAGGTAAATGCGTTAACGTATTGTCAGGTTAGGTTTTGAATGAAACAGGTATGGGCCAGAAATAAATTCAACTGTATGCTTTCTACATAGGACATGTTGGGATGAATAACATTGTTCATGATATTCTGACTGGATATACTGATGGTTAATTTCCGCTTGTGGATTTTCATGTTGTCGCATATAGGCTTCAAATAGTGGTGGACGCAAGGATCTTAGATATGTAGTAAAACTTCTTACCATTTAACTATGTTTGTTATGGGGAATATTCTGAGGAACAGAACGAGAAAGTATGCACGATAACGCACTACAATGTGCTACCCGCGCTTGTTAAGGAGGTAGGTTTTATCTTGTTAACGGAAACCCCCCAGAAATCGCCCGGGACACTTTTACAAGGACATTCAATACACTGTTAACGCACGCGTCTGAGCAGAAATCCGTCCATGGTCGAAGGAGAAAGAAGTCATTTCTGAGGAGCAGAATACGCAAATGCATGTCCTTGAGGGACTTAGCATGGTGAGCTCAAAAGGACTCCCAGAATTCCGAAACCTGGACTGCTTTGTGGCACAGCGTAACTTCTGTGTGAGCTTGATCCACGAGGGCAAGCTGACGCATCAGCAAGAGTTAATAAAGAGATTCTGCACGAACAACAAACTATTATGCAGGCATGTTACTGGTCTTCGTAAGGTGCAACGCGGGATTCCAGCACTGATCACGACTGACGGATGCACGTGATCAGCAACGGAAGCAGCCGATCTCTTACGGTTCCATTGCTCACAAACGTTCCAGAGTGTAATAAGCCCAACGGTTATCCCTGTTTCTATTGTCCCACCATCAGCATTATCCAATATTCCTTTTACTACAGAAAGTGTGTCAAAGCAACTGTTGTTTTTGCGTATACACAGCTCTGCTGCTGTCGATAACATTCGACCGAAGGCTTTACAGGCAGCAGCCAGTGATCTGTCAGAGGCTCTGGATAAATTCTATCAGGGTTGCATGGAGGAGAACCATATTCCAACAATATGAAAACGAGCGGCAATCACTCCTATTCATAAGGGAGGTAGTCGCACTGACCCAACCAATTACCGTCCTATAACGCTACCGCCTGTGCTTGCAAGCTTTTGGAGTCTATCATTGCTGATGCACTCATGTAGTATCTGGAAAATCACAAGATGATAGCACCAGAGCAACATGGCTTCCGACAAAAGCGCTCATGCACTACGAACTTGTTAATTTCACGTAATAGCTAGACTGAAGCAGTTGATGGTGGAGTAAGAGTCGATATCATTTACTTGGAGTTCTTCAAAGCATTTGATCACTTAGACCACCGAATTTTCCCCCATAAACTTCAGCTCTATGGAGTTGGTGACCCATTGCTGCGTTGGATAGGCAATTTTCTACACGAACTTCGATTGTAAGTGAGAGTACGATAATCCCTGTTCGGCGTAAATGAGGTGAAGCGGGGCGTACCACAATGCTCGTTGCTCGGGCCCCGTCTATGCTTGAGTTTCATAAACGATCGGGCGAGGGAAATTACTTCCGATTTCCTATTCTTCGCGGATGATATCAAGTTCTGAGGAGCGAGCAAAGAACCGAACGACCACAAAAAGCTCCAGCGTGACTTCAACACGATTTCAAACTGGCCAGTTCAGATTACACTAACGTTCAATGTGGAAAAATGTCACGCTGTTCGATTGCGCTATAGACATGACTACGTGCATATGCTTGGGTCACACGTATTGCAAGCCACTTCCCAAGAACGCAACCTTGTTGTGCTCATTCAAAGTGACCTTAGCTGTTCAAAACAGTCAGGCAGCTGCGAAGAGGGCAAACCAGCATGTCGGCTTGCTGCGGAGAGTATTCGGAAGATTCTATCCATCCATCTTCCCCATGCTACACAATTCTTACGTGCGCCCTCACGTTGAATATGCCATCCAAGCTTGGCAACCTTGGTTGAAGCGCGACTTAGAAGTACTAGAGAAACCCCAACGCAAGGCCACGAAGAACATCAAGGGCCTACTAAATCCGTCCTACCATCAAAGGCTGAAGTCATTGGGAGTTTTCAATGGCCGCTACCGTAGTCTACGCGGCGATATCATATTAGTCTAGCAAATATTGAGTGACCCTAATCACGTATGCCGTCACTTGCTGAAACTCAGCCATAACACCAATCTCAGAGATAACCCTCTGAAATTGTATGCGCAGTATAGCCGCCTGGAATGCTGGCGGATTGATATTTTTCTTCGGGTTCTTTAACCCTGGAATTCTCTCCCAAACTTCCTTGTTTCCTCCCCCACCTTGGATACTTTCAAAAAACGATCGGATCTTGCTCTTGGCCCCATCACTTCTTTGCTTAAACTGTGTAAGCTTCAAATAAACTGTGTAAATTTGGAATATATTAATTATCCCTACAGACTGCATTAGCATGTTACGTAAACCTGAGGATGCGGAACGGAACTGAGTATCCTTGTTTTTAATTCTCACAGCTAATACATCAACTATAACCGTTGCCATTTTGCCACGTCATTCACATTCAATTCCCACTTACACTACTAGTATTCAGTAGCATATCTGCTAGATAAACGCTCAAACAGACAACGCATTTATCGGTTGATAATTGCAGTTTTACCCCCACCATCCTGCGGAACTTGTCAAGCAACTGCTTTTTTACCGGTCATAAATCATTGTTCATTGTTCTCGGTATCACTCAATAAATGTCGGTACTGTCTTAAGGGATGTCAATCTTAGTCGCCACTCACCATGGTGATTCGACTATATTAAGGGGACGCTTCCGAAGGCCATGCTGGACCAGAATCACATACTTTGCATGGGATTTCACTTACACGTTAAGTAGCTGCGGAATAGTGAATAGTCAAATTACCTGGAGTCCTATGTAAGACAGAAAAATACTGAGAGGCTTCCGACGACGCTTGCTCTGTCTACCTAGGAGGGATTAATGTTATTCTCTGTAAGTGATCTCTGGTCAGTTTCATGGAAAACAGATTGTGTCAGCTTCTCCTTGAGCTCATACATGGGTACACTAGTGGTGTGCACTGAGCCCTTTACACATAGAGACTTCATTCGAAAGTATGTTTTAAGCGAGTGAGGTTAAGCACCATCCAGTTCACCTGACCATCCACCGCAATGAAAGTCCACCACATCTTAAAAGCATCATTCCAGGAGGCAGCTGGGGTTACTCCTCTAGGAAATGACAAATTTACCTCATTCCGAAGCCTTAAAGTTCGATTAGATGTGCTTCTTTGGTTTCACCGCTGGAATATCCAGGGCAAAGCACCTGATTGAACGGTAGTGCTGCATAAGCCATGCTGACGAGGTAACTGACCCCTGCCACTACTTCGTTTTCACTTTCCCCACTTCTGAACATGAGTCATGGAACGCTCAGTTGTGTAGTGGAAGCAGCAGGATTGTGTGCACGGTTGTATGGCGACTCTACCTTGGACTGTTTGGCGAGAAAGGCTGGGTGCAGGTTACAGTACCTAATGGAGAGCGTGGCATCATGACCATAGAAGCTAAGCGATGATTCGATGAAGGAAGGCACATGCGGACATTAAACAAGCATCTTCTCATCTCAGATGTAGAGCATACAAAAGTGATGCAACGATGTAAAAGTTCATGGTGCCAGCAGGATCGAAATTTGGATCTTTTTGCTAACTCAGCATTATCAAGTCACATATATTACGTCGATCGTCACATAAGTGATGTACACCATGTACCGGTGAGCCTACCAGTCGACCAGACTTTGTCAATAACGCCAGTAACAGATGAGATCGGAGCTCAGCCTATTTACTAAAGGACATCAGTATCACGCTAGCTAGTTTCACGTTCTTTCAAACTGCTAGTGATTCAGGGTTACTGCCGACTGTAAATGTGTCAGAAGTCTATAATATAGATTGTCCGTGTTCCATTCTTGTGACAGTATGGCATCCTCTGACTCGATTACCCGCTGAGTGGATGTCGATTAAATCAAAGTGATTAAATGGACCGAATATTTAGTAACTGAAAGAGCTTTGTAATCACCAAGTTGCGTGGAGACGCTAGATGGCCAGATGCGATGAGCAGTTCACACAGTTTTTATCACAATTGGAGATACGGTTCACACGCTACAGCGGACAGCAGTAAGTTGGAGAGTGGTTGTGCGAACAGCATCATTGAGACACATATTGCGGCATCCTTCTACTGTGACCAGTACGACTGATGACACACATTTCCTTGGAGCCCCGGAATTATTCTAACTTTCTTGTCTATGCTCCCAACCGAAGTTACTGATACTTAGATAGTCAAACTCCACCTTCCACGATCAGTGCACAATTCGCCCATTTGCTAACTGGACAAACCGGATGAACATGTGAACAGTAGGCTCCTACTATGTAAAGTCAAAACTGAACTATGTATTCTTCCCTAAATTGAGTTATAGATTTAAAGTCATGGCATCCACATTCTCACACCGTTCCACTATACGCACACAAGACGTTACAAAAATGTGCTTTGAACATCTACATTATTAGACAGATGTTTTTATTTCCCTCCTTAGTACATTCTTGACACTTCAAGGTCGAATTATCAGGCTTTGTCAGGCTGCCGCTAAGAGGGCTGCTACACAATAACATTTATGCCGCACGCCTTACTATGTCTACACTATTTCCTCTAGATTGCAAACCGATTTGTTGGTTCTTTACAGTCCTCATTTTACATAACAGAAAAGCGGCTACAGGAATTTGCTTTTTATTTCTTCTGTCTAGACGGCGCTTAAATTTTACGTTTACTGACCTACAGTCTTCCTTTTGGGTTTCTTACGGGGTGATTTTCTTAAGCTTTCTACCATCGTTGGACGCTACATACGAACTTTCTTGTAGGAACTACAGAAGACTTACATGCAATGCGGTTCAATTAAATGAAATGATCTCCCTTCCATACCTGCATCAATCTCTTGCTTCCCAGACAAGTTCAGTTGCGCATGCAGAGCCAACAAACCGAATCGATTGACGAAGAAATCCCAGGTAAACACTTGTCGGTTTGGCAAGGCACAGCTCAATTGATGCATCCTTTGGAGAATCAAGCACCGATCCGCGACTACCGTATCGAACTGGAACTCCAGGCATTGAACGCCGCACTAAATAAAATGCAACGCGACACATCACATTAATGGGTGTAAGCGAAAAACCGTATATAGAAACAGAACACTGTGATTATTAAGATAACCTATAGTAAAAGCGCATATTAGTTAAGTAAGTAAGTCTAGTTTATGTGAGGATCAAATCAGGGCCGCGTGTACAAGGTCGTTGTAAACGGCAGAGCTGCGGGCTGAAAGCAGTTATCGCATAGGATAGAGACAAATGTAAATAATAGAGTCTCAGACAGAGGCATAACAGGTAAGTCGCGCGTTATTTATTCCAAAACTAGCAAGTCACCAGTTAACACTCGATATAGTGACTGTGGTTTACAGGTCCTGAGTTATAGAAAATAAGCTCATGAATATCTGGAATTAATGCACATTTAAGGCAGCATGTTGCCAAATGAAAGGATCTGCGCCTGCGCCTGCGCACCTGGAGACTATATATCTAGGTTCTTTAGGGAATCAAACAAGAATTTCATAAAAGGACCCTGAACTCTATTTCTAATAAGCTCAAACACAATCGCTTGTTGTATATCAAAAATATTTAGAATTACCAGAACCAGGTTTCTGATAGGTAGAATGTTGGAATAATAACTCCGAATCTCGAAAGCGAAGGCAGAACCGAACCATCAAACTGCCACCCAGTATCTCTTCTCTCCTAATTGTCCAAGGTCATAGAATCCATCATTGCCGATTCGTTGGTGTGCAATCTGGGAAAATGTGACACTTGCTCCTGAGTAACACAGCTTCTGTCGACAGCGATCGTGCGCACTGAATGTATTAAGCGTACGGAGTATTTAGACGGTCAGCTGACGCTGGGGAGGATATTGACGTGAAGTACCTGGATTTGTTGGGAACATTCCATCGGTTAGATCCTTGGATGTTCCTTTCCAAGCTGCAATATTACGGTATCGGTGGCCCACTCTTGAGCTGGATCGCCAACTTTCTCCTTTAACGACGACTGGTGGTCAGAGTCCGGAGTTCTTTATCTGACCCCATACAAGTTGAGTGTGGTGTTCTCAGGGCCCAGTTCTAGAACTATGTTTCTTTTCGGTATTTATTAATGACCTCGTGAGGACAATCGCCTCAAGTTTCTTGCTGTTCACTGATTACTTCAAGAAATGGAGCAGAATTCGGGAGAATGATGAGCAAAATTTGCTTCAACGTGACCCAGTTACGGTACGCATTTCTGTTACAGTTTAGCCTGACCAACTTCGGGGTACTCTCCATACGACATCAAAACAAATACTCATACAGGATGGGAATGCATGTACTTCAGCAAATCGCCTTCGAAAGTGATCTGGGTGTGATGGTTCGGGATGAATTAGGTTGCTCCATGGTTCCGAAAAAGTATGGAAAGCGGGCAAACAATACGTGGCGTTGTTGAGACGGGCGTTCGAACAAATAGACACCTATTTTCCGACGGACAATTGGTGAGTATGTCTGTCCTCATGTCTAATACGCAGTTCAAGCCTGGTGTCCATGGTTGAAACATGACCTCACTGCAATGGACCAGCTTCAACGTCGGGCATCCAAGTATGTCACTGGCATGCGCAATCTCACATACGTACAGAGGTTGAAAACTTTGGGAGTATACATCCCACGGCATCGCCGATTACGTGGCGACCTAATAATTGCAAGCCAAAACATGTATACCGCTCCTGACTACAATTCAGCCGCAATACCAACTTGAGTAATAACCCCTTGAAACGATCAGAACGGTGTAGCCGCCTGGAGTGCCGCAGGATTTTCTTTTCATTCACATGCGTCATCCGTGAAATGCCATCCACGAACTGGTCGTTTCTACACCGACACTAACCATGTATAAAAGCCGGTTGAATGACACACTCAAATACTTACATTTCGTTAGTTAGCACTATCTCTCCGTCCTACTCCCGGGAAATACCTCGTCGCCTACAGGAACTGTGAAACTACGCGGAGTGTGTTAAAATCGATAGGCCCATTCTGTTGACAGTAGAAATACTCACTGCCTGCGTTCATTAACGTTATTCTATAACCCATTATACCACCCAACGGCGCTAGTAAATTAGTGTACCTTAACGCGTATAAATTCATTGTCCATTGTTCACTGTGGAGTCACAGTCATGTGCGAATTCAAAAGCAACCAAGTAATCTAGACTGAATATGGCGACCCCAAGTATTTGAACGCTATAGTTTGTTAACCCGTATGCATGTGGCTGTTCAGCATTAGGTTAGCTGCAGAATTCCGGGCAGGATTTCCAGTTTCGAATCTGGGTATGATTTCCTTGGGAAAACAAGTGCGAATAAGTTTCAGTTGCTTCGAAATGAGGTGAATAATTTGTCGCAAACCATGCAGCAGTGCCAGGTGGTATAGGTGAATTCCACTTAGTAAGCGGCTTTTATAAAACAGTGTAATTCGTCTGGAATCATAGTGACGTGGTGAATGTGGCTAGCAACTACGCAACCCGACGATAAGATTTTGCCCTAACATCGACGGGACTCCTCCGCCACCAGAAAAGTACGTGAACTGACCAGGGAGCCACCAGTTCTTAATGGTCACGAAGCCCATCTCGTTTCGCAGTCATCTGAGCTAGACCTCAGCCAAAGTCTCACGGTGGTGGCTCCCTTAAGACAAATCTCTTATTTGAGCAAGTCGAATGGACAGTATCACACCTATTGATGAACCATAAGATCATACTCTGTCGCTCTACCGATGATTTGCTTTCCTGTAGCTAGGCTTGCTTCATAATCATGTAAAACTTACGTACCCACTTTACCACTGTGGTATCCACCTTATTGTTCTGGAATCCCTCAACAGTGATCAACAGTACATCTTCCGATGAACATATCATTCTATAACTTTAATTCAGCTATACAGATCCTCTTACAGATTAGCCAGTCTCAACGCTTCACATCGTCACTTCTAAAATACAGAATATAGATTTAATAACGTACAATGTTCATGCTCCGTGGCATATAGGGCTGTAAGCTGGAAATTCACGCATCTTGAGGACGATGGCTACCGGTACCTTCCCTCTGTCTAAAACACAACATTAGGAGCCAATCGAAGTGCAACTATTACTTTTACCACTCTGCCTATACACACGCTTCAACCTCCGCCACCGTAGTGACACTGAGTCTGCCGCAATTGTACAAGTTAATGCCGAGATCATTCTTATTGCCTGAATTGATTTTCAATTTACGCCAATCCGAAGTCAACTCCTTAATACAGTGCCTCCAGGTCTGGTTTACTTTTGGCAGGCTTTGAAACGATAAACGCCCTACCTTAAATTTCTGCCCGTGCTATTGCCGGGGTACAATACAACGAAATACCCTGAAACATTTTCCAGCAGCTAAAAGCAGGTATTTGCTTTGACAGTGAAACTTGTTGGTCGAAATTCAGTGAACTGTGAATCTACACGGGATAAGAAGCACTGCCTTCCAAGTGCTGCTGGGCGGTCTGGTAGGGTTACCAAAAATGTTATTCATTTAAGCATGAAAAGAAAAGCTCATCGTTCGTTGTGCTGTAGTCTTGCACTCCGCGCAGTATACCCTATCCTGTAGGCGACACATAATAAATTCAAGGTAGTAGAATGGAGAGTGTACTAAATAACAAAATATAAGTGAATATGTCGTCCAACCGGCTTTTAAATGTGGTTAGTGTCCTTGCAGAAACAACCGGTTAGGAGAAAGCATTCCACGGATGACATCCGAATGGCACAAACTCCTGTAGCACTCCAGACAGCTATACTGGAAGAGCTATCCATGTTCTCATACGACAATTCGCCTGATGAAATATTCCAGGACGGTCCAAAAATAGCTAACAAGCTAAAAAAAGTGGCATAACCATGTACTCATGCGCAAACATGATCATTTCTTCGTACTGATATGTTCCTAACTTATAAATACGTGTACATATAAGTGTGCATGGCGCAATCTGATGAACAATGAACAATGATTTATAACGGGTAAAAAAGCAGGTGCTTGACATGTCCCGTAGGGTGTTTAGCGTGACAAAAAAGATAGAGCAAGGGATAATGGGGTCGTCAGTTTGGGCGAGTACAGATGTAACTGCACTGTCGTATAAAGAAAGTTTGCAATGAGAATGTACGCACACAGAGTAATAAAGGTAGTGGTTATACAGCACATAATAGGCGAGAAAAAATAAGAAAGAGAGCAGGGACAACGCTTACTCGTGTGCAACTATCCTAAGTCTACAGGATACAGAAATCCAGCTTCTATAGTAGCAGCGTTTATCAAATTTCGTGCAAGGCGTTTGGAGTGACTCATTCTCGAGTAGGGTTATGGCACTATCCTCTGTCTGTTGTGCATTAGTGCCAGCATCTGGTGGTCATGAGCTATAGCACGTAGTGTAAATCTGACAGAGCATTGTCAAGGCGTTTTTTGACAAGGGATAGGGTGGGTGCATTAATTACATGTTCCGGTAGGGCGTTCCAAGGCTGTGTCACTCGAAAGGAGAAATAGATTAGCCGACATTCCAGGCGGCTGTACTGCGTGACTAACTTAAACTGGTGACCTCTTAGCGGGGTGTTTTGACTGAGTATTAGAAGGGAATGTCATGGGTGGTTTGGGTTTCGCAGGATCTGGTACACCATTATGAGATCGCCCGTTAGACGCCGATAACGTCCACTGTATATTTTGAGGGTCTTCAGCCTGAGTGAGTAGGAGATGCTGGTCAAATCTCTGACGCTCTTCGTTGCCCTACGTTGTGCAGTATCGAGCGCGGTGAGATGGTGCTTGAGCCAGGGTTGCCACGCTTGAATAGCGTATTCCGCATGCGGTCTCACGTACGCATTACGCATTTTGGGAAGACTGAAGGGTCATACCTCCTGAAAGCTCTGTGAAGTAGGCCAAGCTACTGGCTTACTTTATTAGCTGCCTTTTCAGTCTGCCTCAAACAACCGAGGTCGTCTTGAACTATCACGCCGACATCGCACTCGTGAGAAGCCCGATGTAGCATTTGTGGTCCTAGGCGGTACTTGTACATACTCTTG